AATTGTTTCAGAAGTGGTTTGCCAGAGCCTCCTTCCTAGAGCAGAGCCCGGCTGGTGAGCGCAGGAGGCGGGGTTTCCGTTGCTTCATGCCCTTTTTGGGCGAGCGCGGTTTCGCGCTTACCAGCAGCTGCTCCCAACTCCCGTGCAAGGCGCTGCCAGCAGGCGCCGCCAGCATTCCTCTAGTTAACCTTAAAAGCTCAGTCTTATCTGATGTTTATTTTCAGAAGCAAAACTTTCTCAGGACAGATTTTCTTGCAGTTAAATCCAACATCACTTACTGTATTTTCTTCGACATCTAAAACAATCCTTAAAAAAACTGTTTCACATCCATCTAACCTCTTAACTGTTCCCAATCAGCATTCTTAATTCCCTTTCATTGTTTCCAAATGTTAAAATATTTTTTTTATCTTTAAATTTACTTTAATTTTCTTTTTCCCGGTATAGAAGGAAATTCTCCCAGTGTACAGCAACTTGCCTTTCAGGAGGTTTTTAATTGCCAAGTAAATCACAAATAGGGAGTTTCTGATGTTAATTAAAAGAGGAAGTGAAAGCAACTCTAGTGTCCTTTTAAAGGCTCCACACCATGGCCTGGGCTTGATGTTTTTCCCTTGTCTCCCAGGGCACTCCATCTGCTGGAGATTGCTAGACTGCAATTTCTTCACAGGGAACCTCTGTAAGGAGTGCCTGTGGGTGGTCCTGTCATCTCCTTCATCTGGAAATGATTCCAAAGAGCTGATCAGATTGCCATCTCCTTTAATTACCGCATGGATCGGCTCCACAAAAAATGGAGCCATATTCAATCTGCCATTTCTGCCCCGTAAGTCTTGTGCAAGCTGTCTTGAATTGACTTCCAGTGTTGTCTTCCACAGTCCCATTGAGTTCTTGAGGAAGGTCCTTAGTGTCCTGTTGACTTTGTATAGCGTCAGGCATTCACAGATCCATGTGTGTGGCATTGTGTTGTAGGCCTTCCTGTAGTCAATCCAGGCTGTGCTCAGATTGGTCTGCCTAGACCTTGAGTCTTGGGCGACAGTGTTGTCTTCCACAGTCCCATTGAGTTCTTGAGGAAGGTCCTTAGTGTCCTGTTGACTTTGTATAGCGTCAGGCATTCACAGATCCATGTGTGTGGCATTGAGTTGTAGGCTTTCCTGTAGTCAATCCAGGCTGTGCTCAGATTGGTCTGCCTAGACCTTGAGTCTCGGGCATCTGCTCTATCTATGAGCAACTGGTGTTTTGAGCCTCTGGCATTGTTCCCAATGCCCTTCTGAGCTGCGCTCATGTACTGGCCCATATGGTGCTGTAGCTTGGCGGCTATGATGCCTGATAAGACTTTCCATTGTTGTGGGGGAGGCTGGTTATTGGCCAATAGTTGGACGGTGCTGTTCTCTTTTGGGGGTCTTTCATGATCAGCACTATCCTTCCTTAAGTTAGCCAGGCTGGGTGGGAACCTGCTGCTAGCAACTGGTTCATCTGTGCTGCTAGGTGTTCATGGACTGCTATTAGTTTCTTTACCCAGTAGATGTGGATCATGTCCGGGCCACGTGTTGTCCAGCTCTTCATGTTCTTGATCCACTGTTGGATGTCTGCTACTGTGATGGTGACCAGTTCCTGTTCTGGGAGATTACTGTGGTTTGCTCTCAGGTCTTGCAGCCACTCTGCATTAGTATTATGTGTCTTCTCTTTCTTCCATATACTCCAGTACTGTTCAGTTTCTGCTGTTGGTGGCTCTGCTGTTACTGTGTTGTTACCCTGCAGTTGGGAGTACACCTTGGATGGTTCTTTGGAGAACGAGGAATTTATCTTCTTGGCCTCTGCCTCTCTAATGTATCTCCTTAGCCTGGTGGTCAGTGCTGTGAGCCTTGTTTAGCAGTCTCTAGGGCTTCAGATGGAGTCAGGCCCTTTTATGTTTTCAGCAGCCAAGTCTTATCCTTAATCTCCACATCATCTGTAGTGCCACCAGCTAACTAACTTCTTTCCCAGTTGCCTTGATCTTAGCCTCCAACCTCATTTTCTGGGGGTGGGTGGGTGTTGTACTGTACTACTGTTCTTGATTGTATAGCCAAGCATCTCCAGGATTACAGTGGCTGTAGCATACATTAGTTCACTGGTTTCAGTTATGGTGGTAGTAGGGATTGTCATGAGGGCTCTATTGGCATCTTCTAGAATATTATCTGATGGTACTTCTCCACTGAGCCTTGGTAATCAGTCTCGAGGGTTGACTGTAGCTACTTTACCCATGATCTTATACCTCATATCAGCTACTGTGCTCTGTAATGGAGGGGGTGGCAGTGACGTTCCAGCTTCAGGTGTTGGCTGCACATCCAGTTATTCTTCTGGGTCTTCTTGAGTCCAGGATGTAATGTGTAGCTGGTCTATCTCAAGTTGTGAGAGCAGCTTCCTCTTCACTACATTGAAGCGTTGGGTAACTGTTTCTCAGTTAGTGTGGATGGAGGTCCTCTGTCCATCCATAGTTCCCTCATACATTTCATATATCCCCTCTCATTAGGTCTACTATTGTAGTAGTATTCTATCAATTCCAGGTACTCTTGTCTCATCTGTGTATGTGTATGTGTGCATGTGTATAAATAAATAAAAAGTTAACGGTTCAGCTCAATTTAACTCGTTTTTCTTGCTTTTCCAATTATCATGCTCAATATAATGTTCAGCATCTTACTATGAAACCAATCATTTTAATAGTTTTCAGTTGTAACAAAGAAACTGAGTTCCTAGAAAAATAATGGTATAGTATATAATAGTAGAACCAGCTGACTATACAGGGGTTTGGATCCAGACTATTAATTGCTCTTAAAACTCAATGACTGCAACTTACTTTGTACTGTAAGAGGCAATGGGTTAGAGCTAAACTAAACACAAAATAAATTTGGTCTACATAAATAGTGAGATTCACAAAAGATGCCTTAAAATACGTTTCTAATACTAGAAATACTTTCACCATCACAAAAGACAGCAAATGGTAGTGTTTATTCAAGACATCAGATAATAGCTGAGGAACACCAAAATTTAATAAAGATATTAAAGTTTTAAAAGTTGAAATCACAGAGATTGCCTATCTCATGTCATTTCAGTATTCCCAAGAGTGAGATTACTCAAATTTTGTGAAATTTAATAATACTGCAAAATTTGAAGCTATTTTAAAAAAGCCCTGCGATATAGGAGACAGGTACCCAAAAAGTTGCCAATCCCTGTCTTCATGTTTTCCATATCTTACCAGATCTCCCTGGACTAGAGTCTTTTTCATAGTCAAAAAGTACCTCAAACATCTCATATTTCTTCAGCAATCAGTGACAGGCCTCACTCCAAATTATTTTTATCATAACTTATGACAGTGGTAACCAGCAAATATGGAGGAAACTATGACCTCAAGCAAATACTATCTACTCTGTCTTGTTGACATACATTTGTCTCTGTCAACTAATTTACTTCCAAGCAAAGAGGAAGAGAGGGCAAAACTTTGCTCTGCTGGACCATCAAATAAAGGCTACTTCTCTATTATCTGTCACTAAAAAGCCTTTGTTAACATCCCTACCCAATCACCAAATTTCCTGTGTCTGCCTCCAGTTACTTATACTGAATTATTCAGAATGCAAATGCTGCAGAATATTTTAAGCATATGTCTCCTGCAAATATTGTACAATGTATATTTCATAATTGTGATTTGAAGCACAAATGTTAAATGGCTACATGGGCTCAAGATTATAATTCCAAAATGGTGGCAACAGGGCAATGCACTTTCCAGATCAGCTTTCCCCAACCTAGTGTCCCATGGGTATCTTAAGACTACAATTCCCAGAATTCCCAGCCAGCACAAGCCATTGAGCACTGAGAAGAAATGCATTATTTATTTACTACCTTTCCTCTATTTTGTTCTTATCCATCAGTGGTTGTTTGATCCACTGGTTCATTAGCCTTTGCCCTTGAGGTGTTTTGCACTTATTCAACAATCCAGCCAGTGAATGTGTTCCTTGGGCAAATTCTGAAGAATCCTGAGGAGAAAAAAAAGATAAGCATGCATGCTGCAAAAGAAGGAACTTTGGTTTCATAAACAAAACGAAACAACCCTCTTTACTTCAACCTAAGGGAAGAGAGGAATCTGAGTTACAGCTAGTCTTCAAGTTTTCAGAAATGGCGATTGCTTCTTTGTCCCAAGTTGCTACATACGTAATCTGATCCTTTAACTACCAATTAATTCTCTTTGCAATCTCTATCGTCAGTCTGCAGTTTGAACTCAAATCTCTTAGCTGTAATACTAGGCCTCATTTTGCCTTTTTCTTTCTTCTTCTGCCATCTTTTTTTTCAGTTTAAGGATCTTGCACTCAAAGGAACATGGCACCACGGCTGGTCCTAGGAATTGCTCATCAATTAATAAAATGAGGCTTCCTTTATAAAATCCTGACCACTGGAGTGTACAAAATGTTTCAAACTCAAGTTCTGCGCTTAGAAAAAGCAATCCATGTCCCATAGTTCTGTCTTAACTTTGGGACACAATTGGATTATTTTATTTTCTGCTGTTTTGAGTGATTTATTATTCAGATTAAAAAGAATTCAAAACACGCCCTTTTCTAGTCATTTCATGAAAAAGGAGAGAACAAGAAATTTGTTTTAAGATTCCACTGTCCCATATGTCTGAAAACCTAAAACATTTGAATTTATTTTCAGGACAAAACAACACACACAAAACCTTCTAATGGAATATTCTAAATTGGATTTTTCTGAGCTCAGAACAAAACTTTTTTTCTATATTATACGTATACCTGCTAATCTTATTTAAACAGAAAACAAGAGGAAGAATGGCAAGAGAGGAGAAAGTTATATATTTTGTATTTCAGTATTTTTTTCTTTTTAGTAGACAAATTAAATTTGTCAGCAATTTGAGAAACTCTAGCCTACCCATTAAAGACGTCACAAGAATACAGAACAGAGAGGTAAATATAGCATTTCAGGAGGGAGAAAGGCAATAGGTAAAAGTCTTTCCTTTCCATGCATATTTGAACAGATATACTATATCCATTTAAAAAAGAGGAACCAGAAGCCAACTGAAAGGAAGTCAAAGTTCAGTCTATTCTTTAAATGAATAAAACCACATAGAGCTTTGAAATAAAACACTAGGCTTCACAGGGGTATATATTCCAAGATCAATACCACTCTAACACATCCCTGCCAACTTCATAATGTGAGTTCTATAACTAGCCTCTGCTTAGATTAAGGTAATGACAGACATATAGAACGGATAAAAAATGTATTGTCTTAACACATTCTACTTTTACACTTTTGATGATCTTGTGATCCAACACTTTGATGATGTTGGTGGTGGTGATTCCCTTTACATTTTTACTAAGTCAATTTTTGGCATTTTTTAGCATTTTAACACTTTCACATTTAATGAGGTAATAGGTCTATTCTACCTATTTCAAATTTAGCACCTGCAGTTCAATCCCCAGTTTTGCTTTCACCTTTGGATTTGCACACTTTATCAAGTTTATATATGTTTAATATATACTTTATAATATATTGTACACTGCCTAGTGAAATCATTAATCTGTTTAATGCCTTACAGTGGGAAAACAGAGCTACAATATTTAACTCAGCAAGCTCTTTATAAGACTGATTAAACATTTTTTTTAAATGTACATAAACAAATCTTGAACCAAAATAGAGTTAGAGAGTACACACCTGGAAAACTGAAAGCACTGTTTATATTTTAATAACAGAAACGTTAAACTGTAAACCACTGTGGAAGGAACTGTATCCAATTGATGGGATATACATCTTTGATGATGACAATGATGATAACAATGATAACAATTAGCGGCAACAGAATTCAGGCTATGAGTATGAGGCTCAGAGTATGGTATCAATTCAGGTGTCTGACTCAATATTTTCTCTTTACAGGTAAAGCATTTTCTGCCCCTTGGTAAAGGGGGAAAAAAAAAATTACAAAACTGCAGCTTCCAAATGTCTTCCATTACATGGATGTCTTTAAGAACAATGGCTGGCTGTTCCTTAAAACAGAAGCTCTCGATGTAAGCTTACTATCATATTTTTCTATATAATCTAGAAATGGCTAGATGGATGAGGCTAATGTAAAGTTTACTAAAAGATTTACAAACTTGTTAACAGAGTTTAGATGTCCAAGTGAGCGAAAGGATATTTCCACCCAACAACACAATGAAAAATCCGACATGTGATGACAACTCCTCCCATGCAGTAAATAATATGAGAAAAAGGCACAGCAGGGTTGCTATTGTTCTCCATATCATCAGTGTTGGCAAGAGGATCAGCTCTAAAGGTAGCTCTTTCTTAAGCCACATCAAAGAGGATCACAGAACTACTTAGCTCAGAGAATAGCTTGCAAATAAAAATCAAGCCTTTTTACACTTTTTGAATGAGAAACTACCTAAGAAGTCTAAGCAAGTTACTATAATCCTTAGTATGTAGTATGTATAAATTTGAACTACTTTTAATGACTGTATCAATGGATAGCTCATAGATTTCATAAATTGCTCAGTGTCATGATAGAAATTAGATAAGGGCAAGTCCCATCTAGAACATCTTACCTGGAAAAGGTTAAGGGCTCTGACGGCAGCATGATCCAGTGTCATATACTGATTAAGGTCGAAGGTGGTAAGATCAAATTGTCCAAAATTAGACTCATCATTTAAGAGCTCTAAATATTTAATCACAGCAGACAGGGAACAGATGGCAACCTGGAAAATAAAAATTCAACAGAAGTCTAACCACAGATCTACTCAGCCTGACAATTGGCCACTGGTGCATTGCTGGGACTAAATTTAGGTACAATGCGGCCAATGTAGAGTTTGTGCTTGAACAGCAGTTTTTCAAAGTTAAATTATTGTTCAAAGATGTAAGTAATTCACAGCTGTTTCTCCAGAGGTCCTTGAAAAAGAGAGGGAAAATAACTGGGGAAGAAGGATCTGACAAATAGTGCATAAACATTAACAAACATTACTTTATAAAGAGGGTGAAACCAACAGTAACTATCCATGGTATTCAACAAGAGTTACTTTTGTATTTTACCTACAAAATAGAGATGAATATTTTCTGGGGCAGCTTTCCTTAATCCCTAATCTGCTGCAGTACAGTTCCCATCATTGCCAAACAGCATGGACAGTGTTACTGCTAGCTCAAAATGGTGGGACTCATGCTCCAACATAGCTGAAGAATACCCAATTGGGGAAGGCTGATGTTGAAAAATACATGAATATCATTATATGTGAAACTGTGGGTCTGCTTTGCCATTACTACCTCTATTTAGAAACCTCTAATAAATCTTATAGCAGTAAATATTAGAGGTATGCATCATTTTAAAACTTTAGCAAACTCAGTAGGAACTTGCCTGAAGGCATTCCTCTGACATTCTTACACAGAATTCTATCTTACATATTCCTTCTCCAAGGAAAATGATTTCTCCAGTGTCATTGGCTTAAGCCAGTTCCTTCTCAAACCCTTATGTTAAGATGGCTCCTAGTGGCCATTATATATTAACAACAGCCAATAAAGAGCTGCTATAAACAGGCAAATAGCAAGTTGCAAAATTTTGGAAAGGCTTGGGGAAAAGGTTTGCAATATTTCATTAGTTTAGAAATTTTCATTTAGAATGACAGTGGTTAGTGAATGCTGCCTAAGGAGCAAATTATATGTTTATGTCTAGAGAGAAAGACAGGCATATTTGAGCATCTATGAAATTATGCTCCCAAAAGGAGCATTCCTCCCTTCTCTTGTAGGCTGCAGTTCTAAAATGAACACATACATAATCTACAAAGTGCACTGCTTGTTTCTGATTCATCACCTGATAGAAATTTAACCCACAGCTCACTGATCAGTTAATAAGATTTTCCATTATCATCATTCACTGAAATGTAACATTCATATATTATAAATGCAATCCAAGAGGAAAAAATTACAGGTAGTCCTCATGTAGCAACTGCCTCATTAAGCGACTGTTCACAAATACAACAGTAATAAACAGTAGTAAATGCTATTAAAAAAATCATTTTCCAACCAATGCGTGCACTTATGCCCAAATTTCTGTGCCTGATATTGCTGTATGACAGAACTTTATCTAAATAAGATGGCAGCAACCAGGGATCTTTGCAGCATCTGTCTGTCTGTCTGTCTCTCTCTCTGTCACATGGTTTGCTTAGCTACCATATTGTTTAGCGACCATTTCACCAGAACCAACTGCGGTTGCTAAACAAGGACTACCTGTACTCAGTTAAGTGACATGAATAAATGGGTGGGAATGAGAGAAGAAAAGAGAGAAAAAGTGACTGAGCCATTCAGAGACCCAAGAAAGAATGAGAATTGTGACTGGTAAAGTTCTGCTTAGAAAAAGATTTGCTTGTTTTGAATACATGATTAAGCATTTATACAGGCACATGGCAAAGAAATGAATATAAATCTAAAAGCATGATTAATTTGATTGGTTATGATGGATGAAAGATTGTGGGAATTAATGAAGGATGCAAGGAATACAATGTCACTGAAGCCAGCTGTTATCTGTCTAACACTGACACACACTCCTTTGATTTATGGCACGTGTCCACTCCCAATTCACTCACCTGCTTATCCATTTCAGGTAATGCTGCACTAGACACACGCTCCTTCCTTCTTGACTGCAGCAAGCGGTTGAGATCTTGAACAACGTCTTTTGCTGAAAATTCACTCTTTTTCCTATCTGTGATCAGGATTCCTCCTCTTTGAACCACCTTTACAAACAAAATAATTAGGAGTAATCTCTCTGGTTATAGGTAAAGCACTGTTAATTGTATTCAATAAAATAGACACAGAGTCTGGTAGCACTTTAAAAACTTGCCAACTTTATTGAGGCATAGGTTTTTGTGAGCAGGAGCTCACTTCATCAGATTCATATAGTGGGTTCAGTATTATAGCACTTTAAATAGAGAGAATTAAAAGGGAGGGAAGGGGGAAAACAAGGTGAGAAGAAAATGGGTTTACAAAACAGCAGAGAGTGGGGAAAAAACCTCTCAAAGAGGAAGTTGGAGGCATTATCTTATCAATTAGCAAATGTAGTAGATTAAGAACTCGTCCCTATTCAAGACTTCTGTAATAGATTAGAATTTTCTAACGTATTGTAATTCTATTGTACTGGCAAAGTTTCATTGTTTCACCATTGCTGAGATCAGGGAGATTAGTGATGGAGTGACTTGGAAGACTGAAATGTCTCATTTACAAATTGATAAGGTAACACTCAATCCTTTCAATTTCTGCTATCATACAAATCCATTAGTTTCCCATTGTGTTTTTTTCTCCACCTTCTCCTTTTAACTCTCTGCATTTAAAGTCCTATAATAGCAAACCCATTCTATGAATTGGATGAAGTAAAGCTGCTGCTCACAAAAGCTCATGCCCCAATAAACTGTTAGTCCTGAAGGTGCTACCAGACTCTATTTTGTTGATATAGATTGATCCGGCTCCTCTCCCATCTGCATTATGGAATTCAGTATTTTCTTAAGTGAAGTTTTACTACTTTTGTTTTTAAGCATTTTCACTGTCATATATCCAGAGTGCCCTGGAGAAAATCTAGGTGATCGCTAAGAGTCAACACCAACTCAATGGCACATAATCAATCAATCAATCATTATATATATAATCATGCTACTTCACAACGAGACTGTCAAAGAACTACTAATCAGATGTAGCTTTTAAAGCTGAAGTGATAGAAAAGGAACAGCTCACCACATTTATTCACAGTCTCACATATATAATCAATTATTACTTCAATAGCATAATACAATCCAGGTTTGCGGTAGATCAAACCTGCAAGGTGAGACCCAATGAGAAGCCACATGCTTGCCATCTGCTCATTATTTCAAGCTGAATAAATATCATACATTGAACTATTGCTAGCAGTATGACTGAAGATCTGAATTTAATTTTGTGAGCTACACTACATGCAGAAAGGTTTGATTTTATTTCAGTGAGTTGATAATATCTCTATTAATAAATTGTGTATCTGACACACCGTACTGTATTTATCAGGAGAGCATCAAATTAGAAAGAATGCAGAAAATAGTGAATTACAACAGGTGCCCATTTTCAGAGTGTGACAAGAATGACTTTCACACCTAAACTGACCCACAAGAAAAATGAAGAATCTTTAAGATATGGACAGAGATGCAAACGGTAATGGCAAAGACTAGAGCCGTTTGATCACCTAATAATTTTCATGAGTGGCACTGAAGCATTACATCATTTTTTACATCAATAAAAAGCCAGAGTGAGATATCACATACAGATAGTCCTCGCTTAACTACCACAATTGGGACCAGCAATTCCATTGCTAAGCGACAGTCACTAAGCAAAAACTCAAGTGACTACACCAGACTTACGACATCACTTCTGCCGCAGTCATTAAGCAAATCACCTATGGTCATTAAATGAGACATCACATGACTGCGACTTGCAATTTCACTGCTGACTTCTCCATTGAATCTGCTTGTTGGAAACTGGCCATGATGCGCGCAAATGGCAATCACATGACCGCAGAACACTGCAACGGTCATAAACGGCTGCCAGTTGCAAAGTGCCCAAATCTCAATCATGTGACTGCGGGGGTGCTGTGACAGTCATAAGTGCGAGGACCGGTCATAAAGTTACTTTTTCAGTGCCATCATAACTTTGAACAGTCGCTAAACCGGGCAGTCATTAAGCAAGGTCTACCTGTTCAAGCCAGATACTTTTCCTAGAGGATTTTTCTTCCAAAGGAAAAGATGTACCAGTAGAGGATCAGACCCAAGAGGTATCTATATATTTAGTGTTCCCACTGGAAAAGGATGTCAAGTCAAGATACTAAAGTGAATATAGACCTAATCTTAATGGACAGGATGAGTTTATCCTCCTAACCAGATGTTCAAAACAAAAGGCTCCAGAGGAATGAAAGCCCAGAAACACCATGCCTACTTACATGATCTGCAGTTTCAGGGACACTCCTGCAGATCAATATATTATCATCAGTTGTATAATTTGGGGATTGCCTTAAGACTCAGTATCAATTTAAATATTTGCCTTTCCAGTTAACTGGCATTGCAGACAACCAATGTCTTAGTTCTGTTCAGCTTTCGTATCTTCCTTGAACCTGGACACTTTCAATTCTTCTTTGATCTTTGAAAATGGGCTTGTGTCGTCTTTTTAGTTCTATGACCAGGATTCATTTTGCCTTCTTGATTTATGATACTAAAAATACTTCTATGTGTTTGGAAGACCTTCAGAGTTGTTCAGTCTTAACAGTTCCTGAAAAGTGTTTTTTTCCCTAGCCTTAGGCAAATAAATAGCATGTCCAATAAGCATGAGCCTAGCTAATGGCTGGGTTTATATATTGCACTAAGCTACTGAGATTCCTGTTTAACTTTACATGTTATATGAACCCAGACAACTGGACTTTATTCCATAAAGCATAGGTAACCAAGCCATACCTTAGCATGATGAGTGATTACAGTCACCAACTTAAGTTTTAGTTAATGTGTTAATATTAACACCATTAGTTAAGCTAATTAGAGCCTGCTGATGCAGACCTACTCAAAAATAATTACTAATGATTAAGAGAGCACCAAGAACTCCAGAATTATTAATGAGCTGCTCCTTCTTCTACCACAGTTTTAAGTTCATGTAAACAATGTCTATGGTTTCAGAATTTCCATGGCTTACCTGCCTCAATTTCTCCATATCTCCAGCAGCCTCTCCAACAGGTAGCAGGCATTCCTTTGGCCCCATCTGAATCAACAGTGCTTCAAGGTTGGAAAACTGATCATTATCTGCAAATTCAGATACTTCTAGTTTTCTCGCCAATGAATCCACATATCCTACTCCAATAACTTTCTGTCCATCAACTGAGGACAGCTTAATGGCCACAACACCAACTGAAGAGGACATATCATGGTTACTAAAAAGAACATCCTCAAACTGAGCAAGGTTACCTGGAGAACCCTATTTGAGAAAAGAGTAACACAGAATTAGAAGGAATTAAATGTCATACAATCACGGCAATGAAACTATCAAAAGGTTTAGACTCGATTTTTCTATATACCTATTTAAATTATTTGATACAATGTTACAGAGGCTGCCAATCAAGTGTACTACTATCACAACTGTTCTCTCTCACCCTTTCCCACAGAGAAGAACTGCTAGACTAGAAAAATATATATTTCAAGTCAATAACTTTAGTCAATGTATTTCGTTCACAGTCACAAGACGTAAATGACACAGAAACTCATTGATTTCTCCTTACTCTAAAGAATGGCCCTGTCTTTAACCCCACAAATTAAGTAGTTTAGGAAAATAAGTTAAGACTTATCCTATTTAGAGAGATGAGACTATTACCTAAATGCTGCTATCTCCCATTCCTGAAAGAGAATCTCTTTGTTTCTTTAGCCTATCTATTCAGTCTATTGTTTCTCATGAATTCCCAGGCAGGAGCATCTTGCTGTATGCCTATGGCTTAAGAAGGGAAGGAAGGAAGTAAATAGTGGTTCCATCCCCAATCAGTTTATACAGATTATCTCCCACAAGAAAGTTTGATCTAACCTAAAGTGGAACTCTGCTCATGGGAATTTTCAAGTGGAGGAATGGAGGAAGCAAGTTATGACTAGAGAATAGAAGCAAAAAGATTTCCTACATCTGTCAGAGTTGCATAGCTAGGTGGGAATTATATTAGTAGTTTTGGAAGTTCTTCCACTCTCCTCCCAGTCATAAGGTTAATGTACTTCACACCACCCTAGTTTTTCCAAGGAGAATGGGCAGGGAAAGAAGAACCTTGCAGCCTTTTGCTGAAAAGTAGGGGCCTGAGTTTCAGCACCAACCATCAGTTGTGGCCAACATCCTCCCCATCTTTTTCCTACAGGAGAGAAATGTAATTGTTGGGAGATTCCTGCAGCTGCTGCTTGCAGACACTGTGCAAGGGACTCTGAAAAAGAGCTTTTTCCAAATTTTAGGTGAAGCCAGATTGCTACCAATTTATTTCCTCTTGGGAAAGAATAGGGTAATAGGCTGAGTAGGGGAAAAATATTCCTTTGTTGCTAATTGTCACCATCCAGTTAGCAGTCAAAATTTGGAGTCATAAGTTTTTGGCTCAGCTGGCAAATCTAGATCAACCCAAAGTGTCATACCATAAGGTAACATTACTGGTGTAGTATTTATGGAATATTTACAAGATGTCTGGTTCCTTATTCATCATTCTAATGTGATAAAACATAGAACTATAAATATTTATATACAGTGCCTGAATTTTTAGACACATATAAAAACAAAACTAAAAATTGATCAGGTAAGTTGTTTGGCCAATTTTATTAACTATTTCACATGAACTGATTTCCAGAGACTTCCCTCTCCTTAGGTCCTTTCATCTAATTATAGATAAAAGCAAAGTTTTACTTTTTACTAGAAAAGTAAACCTGACTCCTCCAGTTATTCATATTACATTTCATAATACAGTATCTAGATTGCAACTTAGATGCTCTGTAGTGCCAAGGACTGAAAAAATGCCTTGAAACCAGAGCCCATTCCACCTTCCCTAATTTGGTGCTTCTGGATGTAGTAGGTAACTCTCATAATCTCTATTCAGTATAACCAATGACTTATGAGTAACCAGGTTGGAGAAATCTATGTTCCTCATCAGATACTCTTTTGTGTCCCACCCCTTAGGATAATAAAGGGAACTTAGACAAATGGATATACAAAATAAGCCCCTTTTGTTGCAGCATCCCAGCTAGGAAAATCTTTTTGAAAAATGTTGGGTAAGTTTCATGGCTATTAAGTTTTATTATGCATAGTTTTAATATTACTCTGATTGTTTTAAGAAATATTTGATTTTGCCATTATTTTATTATATTGTGATATTAACAGCACATTGTTATGCTATTAAATAAATAAGTATAGCAAGATCCCAAGCTTAGTTCTCACTGAAGTCATAAACCTGTATTTGGGCTGAACCTCTTAAGGCTGCTAAAAAGGGCTCTCATGACTGAATAGCTCTTTATACAAATAATTTTCTACACAACAAAAAGAGCTATGCAATGGAAATTTTGCAACCTAGTTTCTCTGCCACATGTTAAATAGAATGCATGAACGAATCTTGTTTTATTTGGAGTAATTTATTATTTTAATTTGGAGTAATATTCTGAAGTAACATTGCCAACATATAGAAAAGAACTTCTAACAGTTAAAGAACTGAACATTTTCCTTAGTGCAATTTTCCACAATTAAAATCCAAAACAGTAAAAACAATAAAAATATAAATATCCATATTAAAATTAAGTAATAACAATTCTATATAAAAAGGTGGGGAGCAGTACTGATCATCCTACCAGCCAATTCCAACAATGTAAGCCCCCATCAGGCCCCCAGGCCATCTGGTATAACCATGTTTTCACACTTTTTCAGAAGACCAGGGGAGTGGGGGCAGCCCACACTTCAGATGGTAAGCTGTTCCACAGGGCAGGGGCCATGGAAGAAAAGGCCCTGTTTCTAGACCCTTCCAGCCAAATGTCCTTGACTGGTGGGGTCCGTAACATGCCCCTTCTGCCGTAACGAGTGGGACAGGCAAATATAACGGGGGGCGAGACAGCTCCTCAGATAACCTGGTCCTGTGCCATGACAGACTTTAAAGGTAATAACCAACACCTTGAATTGGACCCAGAAGCAAACAGGCAATCAATGCAGCTCGCGTAACGGAGGTGTTATATGTGCCACCCTAGGGGCGTTCAAAACTGTCTGCACAGCTGCATTTTGCGCCAGCTGTAGCTTCCAAATACTCTTCAAGGGTAGCCCCACATAGAGCGCATTGCAGTAACCCAAACAGGAAGCGACCAGGGTGGGAGTGACCGTGCAGAGGGCCTCCTGATCCAGGAAGGGGCGTAACTGACACACAATACGAAGTTGTACAAAAGTACTTACAGATCTGTAGTCAGAGCAATATACATACTTCTGTACACAATGATCACGTACCTTGTAGGCCAAATACCATTCAGTCTCTTTGGTGGATTTGTTTCCTGCCTTGTTCTTGTATACTTCAGCCCTGTACTGACGAACCAGAAGCAGATTTCGCAAAAAAGATTCAAAATTCATCTTGCTGAGCGCAACACTCTCAAGTTTCTGAGTTCCTAAAAGATAAGAAAAACCTTGAAGGAACATGGTTGACACACTAAAATTAAAAGTTATGATTTGGTCAAGATAAGCATTGTTAAATCTTATTGTTTTTGATTGGGAAGTAAGGAACATAAAAAATCCCTGCCAAAGTCAAAGATACATAAATTAGGCTAGAGGATGTCAGACTACAGCTCAGACATGGCTACAATATCAATCTTTATTCTCCCTGAAATTCAACCCTCCATTCTGGAGATAGATAGCAGCCGAAAATTCAAGAACTCAGTACTGCTACAGATACAGGTAGTCCTCACTTACTGATAGCAATTGGGACCAGCAACTCCATCACTAAGCAACATGGTCATAAAGTGAAACATCATGTGACTGCCCCCAACTACACGTCAGTTCAGGCTATTGGTGTTGAGCGAATCACTGCAGGTCGTTAAGCATGGTATCATGTGGCCACAACTTGCAACTTCCTGCTGGCTTCTCCATTGATTTTGCTTGTTGAAAGCTGGCTGTGAAGGTCACAAATGGTAATCATGTGACCGCGGGACACTGCAACTGTCGTAAATGCATGTCAGTTGCCAAGTGTCTAAATTGTAATCACATGACTGTGGGGATGCGACAGCCACAACTTCAAGGATTAGTCATAAATCTCCTTTTTTGGTGTCCATGTAACTTTGAACTGTTGCTGAACGAATGGTCAGTAAGTGAGGACTACCTGTATTGTTTTATTGCAGACTAGTGTTATGTGCATATTACTTTGCTACTGTAACCTTGCCTAAGGGACGATATGAGAAGTATACCCACTGATATGCATATTATTGAAAAGTTAAGAATTGAGGCTTGTATACCAAAGAGTTCAGGCTTCATACAGAAACTAGGCCTTGACTAATATCTATTTAAGAAAAGTACAAGAACAGGATGAAGGAGGCAAAATTAATACCAAGAAGGTAATTAATTAATTAGAGGTATACTAAAGAAAACAAATGAGTTAAGAATGAGTAGACCAGGCCAATAGAGGGGACAAGCAAGGTAAAAATATGATCAGAAAGGACCAACCTATAGCTGGACACACACTAGAAATGTAATGAAGGTAAAGACATTGTTTTAGAACCTTCTAAGAGCCTTGGAGTCCTGATTGGTCTTTTCAGAGTGAGATGAAAGAACCCAGGCAACTGGGACCCCTGAAGATACAATAAGGCCAGGTTCAGACTTTGTGGATTAAGAGCCACAAGGTCTTCATCACTGCCTGGCATAGACCCAGGCCCAACCCCCCTCACTGTACTGAAACCCATTTCTACTGTGTTCTATGGGGCTTTAATTGGAGTGACCATTCAACTAAAAGCTCACAACCCTGGGTAGGAATAAGTGTACTGAGAAATGCTTCTATAAGTGCTAAGAAGTTTTTTTACTTGATTTTTGTATTTTGCTTGCTTTAGTAAAAAAGAAAATTTTAGTCTAACAACAAAGAAACTAGCAAATAGAGGTATTTTTGTCCATCTGTTCATTAGGAAGCATGCCTTCTCTGTAGCAGCACCTGCATTCTGGAACATCATCCCTCCTGAGATACATCTTTCCCTCCCCCCCCCCCCCCCCCCGTTCTGAAAACCCGGCTCTTTCTGCAGCCCTTGGGTTAGAGAGGGTGGTGAGTTCTCCCTTTGATAAAAGTTTGATATGCAAAAGTTAACAGAAGTTTCTTCCTGATATGGAATTAAGATAGACTTAATCAGCCATCATCCGAACATTGACTGTAAAAAGGCTGGATATATCTGGCACTCTGGATGTTATTACAACTCCAATTTGTATCATTTCTTACTACTGGTGTACTGCTTAAGGTACTGGAATAGAAAGCAAGAGACCAGGTTTTCTAGTCCTCCCTTAGGCATGGAAGCCAGCTGGGAGACTTTGAGCCAGACATTCTCTCTCAACCCAAGAGGGCTATTGTGGGAAAAACAAGAGGAACCCATTGAGTTGTACAAAGGAGTTGCTCAAACATTTGGTTTGAGATAGTTGAACAGGTTGATGCAGAAACTTGATTTTGTCCTTTTTAATGCAGCCTTACTTTCTTATTCTGTGTTTTGTATTAAATCCACCATGTGGACAACTGATACATTTTCTATAAATAAATAATAAAATCTGATAGAAGCTTTTGTAGAGTTTCAAGCCCTGTGATTGCAAGTACCAAGGTAAATACCAAGTACCAAGGTAAATACCAAGGAAACAGCCAGCTTCTAGCCTAGACCTCCCAGTCAAAATATTACTCTGTGCAGCTACTTTATATTTCTGTCTTTAATAATCTGAAAAGAAAAAAAATGGAGAAATGGTGGGAAAATATAGGGAGCTTATACTGTATATGAAAGACAACAATGTTTAGACTCTAAATCATCATGGATCATTATCATCATCCATAAACAAGGCAGGCAAAATCTCTTCTATAAGTACCGAAGTCAGCAATTCTAAAAGCAGTGCTGGATCAGTCCCACTTTGGAACACAAGCCACCTTCTTACCCTTCCTCCCCAGCAACTGGATTTGAGAGGTATCTCTGAGACTAACTTTCCTAAGTCTGGTACTCATCCAGACACGTGGGACTAGAAATTCCACCCCCAGGACGATGGGGATTGTAACTGGGAAGGTCAGCCTACACTGACTACTAACGATTCTTTGGAAGCCTTTCCCAGCGCTACCTGAAATTGCCAGAGACTAACTGGTTCGCCGGCATGAGTAAAGCATGGCGTCTATTGCTGCGCTAAGGAAAAAGAAATAGGAGCGCAATTTCCAGCACCCTCGAGCAACCCAACCCTGCTATTGTACGCCCGCCAAGGAGAAGCCGCGAAAGCCCCTGAGTCAACCTGTGCCCAGCATCCGAATGATCGCTCGCGTCTTGAAGACCTCCGCCGCCGCCAGCTTTGCATCTTCGCCATGCACCGTGTAGTAGTCGCCGCGCTCGAAGAACCTCACAGTAGTATTTGGTTTGGCAGGCAACGCCAAGACAGCGCGAATAAAGCCGCTTTCGGCGCCCGAGCCTTCAGGCCAGCATCCCTCCCGTGGAGCAGAGACACAAGCGTCTATGGAGGCCGCCATGCTGAAATCGCCCGCCAACCTCAGTGCCGCCAGCAAACAACGTTCATTCTATCCTCCGCCAATCCGGAACACCGCGACTTGTTTCGGCCACCGTAATAGTCCCGCCCTCATCGCAACGCGTCCTAAGCGAAATAGGCCTTTCGGGACACCATCTGATACCGCGGCAGAGCTCTAAGATTCATCGTTATTCGGAAGGGAGTGGCGATGATGTAACCTTTTACACATATTCAGTTGCAAAATAACTTCCTTCCCCCCATTTCGTGAAGAAACATTCAGTGCAGTATTAGAATGCCCTACTATATAGATATGTATAGGACTGTATTTTAAGTATGTTTCGTATTGTAGTTCTGCAAGCAGCCTTTCCCGTGCTAGCTGCGAATTCTGGGAACGGTGGTCTGAACGCTTGGACGGGTGTTGCAGAAATCAAAGGAAAAAGAATAGCTAAAACGTCTTTCAAGCAAATACACGTTTACTTGGAAGTCAGTCCTATTACTGTCAGAAGGCGTTTAAAGTAGGACTTCACAGGTTGTAACACATCTTTGAAACAAGCACCATTTTCTGCTCATTTTTTTTTCTCCAGTATAGCTAATCTTGGGTTTGTTTATTCAGACGTTTCTTCTGCTTTGTTGATTACAATTGAGTTTTAGAACAAAACTGTAAAAAGCTGTACCTTTACAGATAATAATAATTAGCCTTTAAAGTAATCCTAGACATACTTGGAAGTAAGTCCAATTTAATTCAATGACTGAGTACATATAAAACTCCAAGTCATGGTTTGTTTTAATCATTTTTTTAAGCAAGCCACCATGTGTAGCATCATCTATTGCACTAAGTAATAATGTGGTTTATTGGTTTTGGATTAATGCAATAGTGAACCAAGCCATTGGTTTGTAACCCATGGTTTGTGGTTTATTGTGTGAACAGGCAATTGTGGATTTATTTATTCCATAAATCATTGTTAAGCAACTACTTAATGTTTTAGCATTTTATGTGAAACCAGTCAGTGGCTGGATTCATACACTGCGCTAAGCCAAGGGGGCTCACTTTTCGAACGTCACTGTTATCTGTAGAGAAGAGGGTGGGATTCTTTTTGGTACCATGCAGTTGCCTGACAAAGATGTGGAGTGAGGAGCAGTTATTTTTGGTGGCTCATTGTAAGAATTTTTATCATTCTGTCATAGAGTTTCTGTCATTTCTATTATTCTATCCATACCAAATGGATTACTGCAATGCACTCTACATGGGGCTGCCCTTGAAGATCATCAGACACTGCAGCTGGTCCAAAATGCAGTGGCACAGATTGTCACAGGTGCACCTAGGTACACTCGTGTTACATGTTGGTTGCATTAGCTCCCAGTGAGCTTTCTGGTAGACTTCAAGGTGCTAGTGTCATCTATAAAGCCCTCCATGGCATGAGGCTGGGTTATTTTCAGGACTGCCGCCCCTGGTTGTTTTTACCCATCCCACTAAGTCCGACAGGACAGGTATGCTCCGGGTTCCCTCAATTAAAGAATGTCAACTAATGGGACCTAGGAAGCATGCTGTTATTGCCACAGTGCCTGCCCTCTGGAGCACCATATCTCCTGGGATTAAATTGACCCTGACCCTTCTGGCATTTCGTAAAGCTTTGAAGACTGGGATGTGCTCCATGATTTGGGAGTTGGGAATGTCGAAGGCCACTGACAGGTTTTCATTGATTGTTTTGTCCAGGTTTACCCTTGGTGACCGCTATATGCTTTTATTCTTTGTTAATATTGTTTTTATGTGTGTTAGCTATTCAGAGTACTATTTGCAAGATGGGCAACCATATAAATTGATTTAGTAATAAATTGTCAACAATTTATTAAAATTGATCAGATCAGATGATCAGATCCATCTTGACCTGAACTCCATATTGGAAGAGTTCATGAGCATGTAAATTTGGCAATAGGTTGTCCTATTACTTGTGATTCTTTTCGATATGGACAGGATGTGTGAGAGATGACAGCTCTCATCTGCTTCTGGCACACTAAATCTGCTAAAGATGGAACTGGTCCCAGTGTTAAGACAGGTGACCAAGATGTGTTCCCTTCTACCTGCACGTGTGTATGTGTATGCCTTCAAGTCAGTTTTTGACTAGTCCCTGCAATTTTCTTGGCAAGGTTTTTCGGAAGTAGTTTGCCATTACCTCCTTCCTAGGGCTGAGAAAGAGTGACTGGTCTAAGGTCACCCAGCTGGCTTTGTGCCCAAAACAGGACTAGAACTCACAGTCTCCTGGTTGCTAGCCTGTTGCCTTAACCACTACACCAAACTACCTAAAGAAGTAATAAAATTTATATTGATGATACCTCCCCTTGATTCAGGAGATTTGTACAACTGTAGGCCAGTCTCAAGTATTCCATTACTGACAGAGAAGTAGCCTTGCAGCTCCAGACACATCTGAATTATATCTTGGTTTTTTACCCATTTCAGTCAGAAGCTCTGGGTTGAGATATAGTATTAAACTGCTTTGATACCTTTAGTTGATGACCTATGCCAGAAACTGGTGAGGGGGGAGTGTGGCCCTGGTAGTATTCCTGGATTTCTTGGGTGCTTTCAATAAATACCACCAACCATGGTATCCCTCTGGACCACCTGCCTAGATTGTTCCTTAGGGAGAATGTTTTATAGTGGCTCCAGTACTTCCTGCCAGGCTATATCCAGAAGGTGGTATTGGGGGGCTACTGTTCTACATCTAGGCTGTTGATCTATAATGTCCCACAGGCTTCCATTTTGTCTCCGGTGCTGTTTAGCATCTACACAAATTTACGGGGAAAAGTCATTCAACACTTTGAACTGAGAAAGCATCCCTATGCTGATGACACCCAACTCTTCTATTCTTTACTATCCAGTTGTAACAATCAGTACCCTAGAACTTTGCCACTCATATCTAAAGCAGTCTGAATCTCAACTACAATTCCAATTTTTTATATACCAGCAGCACCTTCATTTTGCCTCAATTTAATTTCAGCTTGTTCTCTCTCATCCAGCCCAGATCAAGAAAAATAAGTAGTGTGTACTTGGAAGAGCCATGTAATAAAACTGATCTGAGTACTTTGAACTCTGTTTGTAGCAAAAACCCTCTAACATAAGGCTTCTGTATCATGTAAAGAATAGTATTCTTATAGTCTAATAATTAACAAAGAATATTGTAGTTGCAGCTTTTGCCAATCCTGTAACATTCTGCTGGAAAACTTTATGCTTAGCTAGATTGTTTTCTATCGAGCTACAAAAGATAAGGGGCAAAACCTCTTTCCACGTAGGCTGGCAAATAAAGCAGGAAGCTACTGTTGGAAACAGAACTGAAAAAGGCACCCTTCCAGTATAATTGTAATGGCAACCTTTAAGCTCTGAACCAAAAAAATAATCATAATGTGAGACTTTCTGAATGGGACCCCATCAACATTAAGCAGAATTCTATTTATTCCACTTATTCCTCAGTGCTTTTGCATATCTTTATACAACAAAATAGTATTCACAGTCATACTGTTCGTACACATAAATTGAAAATATGGGGAAAAAGATGTTCCCATTTCTCACAGGAGCCTGGAACTGAATCCATAGTATTGTATGTTCATCATTTTCATCCTTTCTTCCCCACTCTGTTTTCTTACCCCCTAGTCTATCTTTAAGGTGCTGGCCTAGAAACCAGAAGACTGAGAGTTCCAGTCTCACCTTGGACATGAAAGCCAGCTGGGGGACTTTGGGCTAGTCACTCTGTCTCAGCCCAACCCACCTCACAAGGTTGTCGTTGTAGGGAAAATAGGAGGTGGGAGCATTAAGTATGTTTGCCACCTTGAGTTGACCAAAATATATAAAAAGATGGATAAAATATTATTATTATTATTATTATTATTATTATTATTATTATTATTTCATTAGATTTATATCCCGCTTTTATTTATGTAACTTTAAGGTGGCATTCGAAATGCTCCTGTCTTCTATTTTTTCAAAACAACAACCCCGTGAAGTAGATTGGGGTAAGAGAATGTGACTTGTGTAAAGTCACCCAAATGATAACCAAGATGAATTTCAGTTTTATGAATACTTGAAAATATGCATAGTAGACCCAAAATCCAATCCCACTCCAGGAATTTTTTTTTTTAATGACAAGAACATGTGTGACATGGTATGCTGAAGAGTTGAGAGGTATAGATAAGCAGATAAAGATTTTTCATATATTGAAGATAATGAAGTCTGAAGGGCTTTTCAAGCAAGAAACCCATATTCTCCCTGAGGAAAAGCCATTTTTAAATGGCTTTTAAATAAAGAAATATAATTTTGGTTAGAAATTGGATTTACTACATTTATATATAAAATACAAATCAAAATTTGTCAGAGAAATCATTATTTTAATTAACTTCTAATATTGTTGTTGAACAAAAGATTTTGGATACTGGAGGATATTATAAGTTTGGTACTTAGAAGCAGAGACTGCTAGATTGTAAAGGAATTAAAACTGACCTTGGGAAAAGCATGAGCAAGCTGTTACAGAGGGAGTTAGACAAGAAATTACGTAGCTCAGAGATTAAAGGAACCATGGGAAAAAAAACTTTGCCTTGATTTTGTTTAGCGTTAAGATAGGATAGAGAAAAACTTGGGCAAACTTTCAAGATTCTGTTTATCTACCTTACAACAATAAAGTAGCATTCCTGGAATCCCTGTGGTCCCTGTTTTTTAACCTGGGCTTCCTCAAAGGGCTGGCACAGATTATTTGTGGCGATAATTTGCAATAATTATAATGAAATTAACTCCCAGATTTGTTTTAAAGTTGGTAAAGATTTTATAACATGTGCTAGTTTGCCTCATATCTTTTTCAAAAGTGGATGCTCCATGGTCATGTGATTGTACTCTGGGCACTTGGCAACCCAGTCACACGCCCGGTCACCAAGCACCCCACAATCACACGGTCACCATTTGCAACCTTCCCTGCCGGCTTCCCCAGAAAGTCAATGAGGAAGCTGGCAGGGAAGATCGCAAATCACTGGAGTAAGTCTCCCCTACCCATGCACCCTCCCCAGCCCTTCTGCACTCACCAGCCACTTGCGCACCCCCACGCACCCAACCCACACCACA